TTTTGTGACGCGTATCGATGCTCAAACATTTCAGCTTTTAATTGGTGGAAGAATTCTGTGAAGATTGCTACTTCAAATCGCAAATTTGAGTTCTCGCGAAAAAATTCAAGAAAGCCATCTGAACAATTTGAATCGGATACGTCTCAGCTCGGCACGAGCGTGTGCAGTTCAATCGAGCCTTTATTAGGCCAGTCTCTCTTTACCGGCCCATTTTCGATATTCACCCACCCAAATGACATCTACACCAATTGTTACAAATCATCGCAAGTGACAAAGGCTTACAAGTCGCGATGCATAAAACAAACAACGGTCCCAAACACGACAGCACTAGCAATTCAAGTATACTTATTCTCATTCGGGTCGATGGTGCAGAAGGGGAAGTTCTCCGCCTGCGCTTGCGACTTGGTGAGGACATTGAAGAAGGACGACTTGCCGACGTTCGGCAGGCCGACGATGCCGACTTTGAGGTTGGTGCCCACGCGCCCGATCAGCGCCTTCTTCTCGGACGGGAGAGCTTTCTTCGGAGGCATGGTGACAGTGAATTGAGACTCTGCAGAATAATGTCAAGATTTGTCAGAAACAAGGAATCAAGCAATATGTGCAAGTGCAGGAACATGGTGTGTAAATATGAATTTGAGCCATCTGCCTGCAATTTAGCATCCATTCATAAAATCATACAAAGAAGGGACACAACAACATGATGATGCCCACATGGCACATTGGGGCCTTCTTCTTGACTCATTACATGCTCTTATGTAAGTGGATGAACCCATAAGAAGTGATGAAGTGTGGTGATAGTGACAGGTAAACATGGTGAGCATAATGCCAGTCCCCTATATCAGTCATAGCACACCCTTTCCAACCTAGAACTGTGGCAGGGTTTGAGCTTGAGTCACTGAACACACTTTTTTGTCTTTGGCCAGGTCAGCACTGCATCACAGATTACCCATCTGGGCAATAGATCTAGAGTGGCATGGTATAATTGCATGGTTTTTCTCTATTGTTGGTAATGATTATATACATACATATATATATATATATATATATACATATATATATATATATATATATATATATATATATAAATATAAGCTTTTGGGCCAAATCATGTGCATTGGCACTGGCTCTGTGTAATTTGCAAGTTCTGAGAAAACTGGATTTGGCACACTAATCATGAGACACACATGTCACATCAGTCTACTATGCAGTAGGGACTGATGAAGAAGCTGGCCCACTGGCAGGATCTATATGCATAATAATTATTAGTTGAGGTTAACAGTCACCTATTTCATATGTCTATTCACTGGTTGCCAGGTTCTTTTCATTCATTTGCACTTGCACTTTAAGAATAAGGCATCTAAATCCCCTAGTTCAATCTTTTATAACAAAATTGCTGAGGTAATCATGATGATATTGAGCCTGCTGTATGACAGCCAACTTCAGATAGATCACAAACATAACAGATACTGGCAATCTCCCCACATATTCATTGGCACCCTGGCAGCTGAGTGGAACATTTGCAGATTAGACAACTGCTGTGCATCCATTGCTATTGAGCAATGGGTCATAACTGTAAGCTTCTAAGGCTGTGCCTAAGAATTCTTGGTATAAAAAATTAGACTTGTTCATCTGACTTCATGTTTAGTTTACACAGAGGATTTTAACCATGCACATCACTGTGGCATAAGCCCTAAAATGTATTTGCACTAGCAGTGGTCAGTATCGGCATGCAAAAAATAGCAGTATTTGTGATTGATAACATGCCTCAGTATAGCTTTTCATGTCTGGCTGGACCTTGCAACCACACACCCACACTGCTGCACATTGCCCAGAGGCATCTGGCTTACCGCCCTGCTAAAATAACATAATGTATCATTTTAAGGTGCAGTAATTCTGGCTCCTGTTAGGATTAACTGCTGCCTTCTCTACCTCGTATTTGGCCGTCAGAGAGATGCTCATGCATGATGGTCGGATACGATGTATTACTGCTTAGCAGCAGCAATCTGAACTGGCCAATACAAGACATCACAGAGAACTAAGTTGACTGCAGGGTAGCCCTATTTGAGACCAAAAAAAGGACAATTTTTGAAGAAATAAGGCATTGCAATGGAAGCTTTAGGCCGAAATGTACCAATATTTCACAATAACGTTCTCGTTTCATACTCATACAATGGCTAACACCCTAGGGCCAGCCACTATCCACAGGTTTACATTAGCTACTGCAAGAAAAAATACACAGCCCTGTTAAGTACCATGTAAAATACTGAGCTGATTCGATTTAAGACAGTTCACAGCACTCTTAAATTAAATAAATCGCATACACACATCCACCTACACGTCTTTATCCAGATGCCGGCAACAGCGCCAGTTTTGTCTCGCCATGTGACAACGGAATCAAAAACAATACGTGGTATGTAAATCTCAGAGATTCACATTTTTCCTAGCCGCAAAACATGCTCTGTGAGCAATTCAGAAAATATATTCAATGATAATATTCTATTTGAGTAGCTCTTCTAGCAAAATACAAAAGCCGGCATTTTCCTCATAGCTCTGATTTGCAAAGAGAGAACAAAAACCTCAAGCTCTTATATCTTTGGAGCCTAATAATTATTTTCAGAAAATGTGAATTCCATTTATTTCTGGGAACACTTAACAGTGATTGGTCTTTGATTCGACAAGTATTTCTACAATAGTTGAATGGATGAGGCGTGCCGACCTTGAGGTTTGGCGCGAACTTGTGGCGAGCATAAAGCTGGATGGCGCGTGAATGCCTTATGTAATAATAAGGAGTGGAAGTGCAGCTTTCGTGGACGCGTCGGTCTCGGATCAAGGCCCTATAATAACTGTGGGTCGGCTCTGTGGTAAGGACATTGCTGTCGCGCTTTTTTGACAATTTGTTGTCAGTTTATGGTGGCGGTACAAGGCAACTTGGAGCGTCTTTTTGGCCCTCGGGACATGTGTGTTTGATGCGTGCAGTGGTTGCTGTGTTCTGGTGCATGGTCAAGCATCTGCAGAGAGACCATCTTGCAAGCCGATAATCTGATGGTGGATAATCTGGCGGCGCCTAAATGATCAGGGGTGCATGGCATGTCAATCATTCAGTGATCATAGGTGGTGAGCAATCAACTACCAAGACAGGTACACCTGCTTATGCTTGGCAACACATTATTCTAAGAGTAGTGTTCAGCCTGTTCCTAGAAAACAGTGACTGAAACTCAAGCCATCCATCAATTTTGACATGCATATTAGGTCATGTTTCAGCCCTGTAACATAGTTTGTACTGAAACTGTGGGCAGTATGCAATTTGTCTCCATTGATAATGTGCTATAAATAGCAGTCTTGGAAAGTCTATCTATTTTGCCTCTAATTTGGCAAGAGGTATGCAAAAATGTGAGTGTTTGTGATGAAAAGAAGGTAGTTTGATGCCCAGCTTTAAGGTTCTCGAGTATCAAAGATTTTAGCATGAGAAGCAACCATGCATGAGTATGACAATGCACTGTTCAAGTCATATCATTGTTTGATGCTTTACTTCTGTTTCAAAGGAACCTCCTCTGGTTATTCTCTGGCAAAATCATATTTTTCCTCACCCTGTATGATATAGCCTCAAGGCAGACATGTTACGATTGCACATTTATCCATGTTTAAAAGCTGCAGCATGTGTAAGCTGAATTTTGTTGTAAACTTGGGCACCTGCACTTGAATGGTTGCTAGCCACACAAATAGCTCAGCTTATGCCAGCCAATATCAGTCCTTATAAGTGGCTGCTGACAGGACACCAACTCAGCAAAAGAAAGCTTAAGATTCAGGTTTTTTATTGGTATGCACCTCCAGCTTCTTTGTGCATCTATATATAAATCTATTCTTGTTCCCATTTTGATGTGGTTTGAATGGATTGCACTATGTGGATTCTTAGTGTCAATTGCTCTCACTAGGCTGTGCCAGTTGCATCCTGAACCCACCATCCAGGGTGTCAGACTCAGTTTATTTTGATTACTTGCTTGTTTTATTGATATGGCTTCCAGAGGATTTTGTGGGTTACATAAGGCATGCTTGGTAATGTTGTCTTTCTTTACTGCGGTACAAATTGAAATTGTGATGTTAACTGTGCCAAACAACAATTGTCCTGTTGTTAATGATTTAGAAGATGTGTGTTAAGTCAAGGTTGGTCCCATGACAAATTCTCATTATCAGTTCATTAGTTTTTTTCTGGTAATACTGCATTCGTCCCCATTTACTTTTGTCCTTGTCTGCTTGGGGGTTGTCAAACAATTTGTTATCCACTCAGGTTGATAGTACAATTGCTGTCAGACATCTAGCATTTGGCCTTGATGACAGAGGTAAAAGGGCACTGCCCTGCTAGCAAAAAGACACATTGACAAAATAGCAGTCTTGGTTGTATACATTAGTCTATATTTATTTTGGTCATTTGTCTGTGTATCATTTGACCATCATTTCAGCTAAATGTTCATGTAAATGTGATCATGTTTAAGTTTCTTCAAATCTTGTTTTGATGACACTGTTTAAAAGGCTTGTTTTTTATTTTTTCTTTCTTCATTTATTTCAAGTTGCCTAAAGTTACCTGGTTTTCCTGCTAAAAGACCAGGACACCTGATTTTGCTGATGATGTCTCTTCAGTCAGTAGAAGTTCAGGCCACTACATTAATATTGAAACACAACTTTATAACCAGCTGTCCAATTCATGCCTAGAACTGGAAGACAGCTAACTTGTCTAACTAACAAAGTATCTAATGACTAAGCTAACTAAGTCTCAAATGAGAGTTTCTGGGTTGAAAACCAGACATCCTGTAGTGTAATTGGTCCAACACAACAGGCTGCCCAAACTCAGTAGAAAAATATCCCCCTTAGTGATTATGGATTTGAATAAACCTCTGGTCTCCGACCTCTGCACTTTTCGAGGGACAGGCTGGTAGCAGGGATTCATCAGGCATCTATTAGTGATACTAATTACCATAACCATGTCTTCTCAGGACTCGCCAATTATGCCTGGTTCGAGCACTCGTCGGAGTAAGCGTGAGGGGCGGGTCAGGCCACAGACCGCTTCAGAAAAGCCACTGAAGCTGGCCACTCACCGGCCGGGGGCGAAGTCGGGTGACGTGACGAAGTGCGAGCCGGAGGAGCCGGTGCCGGGCGAGTTGCGGGAGACCCCCAGCCTCCTGGTGAAGGACCAGGTGGGGGCCGATGGCTGGCAGGAGCGGCCGCCACAGACGTCGTTGTCTGGCTGCTCGCCGGCCGCTGCGGAGGCTGCGGGGGCTTGCTCTGGGTCGCCGCTCACCGGGCAGTGTGACCCGGCCGAGCCGGCCGAGGCGGCGCTGGGCCCGACCGGGCACGAGCTCGACCCCGACTGGGTCAGTGAGGAGGCGCGCCTGCGGGCCGAGACGGAGCGCGAGGAGCAACGCATGCGCCGCGAGGTGCGGCTCCGCAATGAGCACGAGCTACGCGAGGTGCGCTACAAGCGGCTGCTGCGTCTGCTTAACACCAGCCAGTTCTACGTCAACCACTTGGTCACCAAGATCGACGAGCAACACGAGAAGCTGAACGCGACGCTGGCGAAGAGCGCTGCGCGCTCCAGGAAGCGTCCGGCGGCCGAGGGTGCGCCGGAGACCGTGCGTCGGTCCAGCCGAGCAGGCGCCGGCAACAAGGAGAACGTTTCGGTCGAGCCGGCTACCAAGCGGCCGGCCCCGGCTCGTCGCGGGCGACCGCGCAAAGCGGCCCGTACCGACGACGGCGGTTCGTCCTCGTCGCAGCCGAGCTCGCAAGAGGAGCCGCAGGGGCAGGAGCAGGAGCCGCCACGGCAGGCCGACGCTGAGCCAACGGAGGACGGCGGCCAGCCGCGCCTCTTGAGCGGCGGCACCCTGCGCGACTACCAGCTCGAGGGCTACAACTGGCTCAAGGTGATGTTCGAGAACGGCGTCAATTGCATACTGGGCGACGAGATGGGGCTAGGCAAGACGATCCAGTGCATCAGCCTGATCGCGTACCTGGTGGAGCAGTCGGTGGTGGGGCCATTCCTCGTGAGCGCGCCGCTCTCCACGCTGCCAAATTGGCTGTCCGAGTTCCGCCGCTTCTGTCCGGCGCTTCCCGTTGTGCTGTACCACGGTCCGGACCGCGAGCGACTGCTCGCGGAGATCGGCCGCTTCCACCGCGTGGACGGCTGCCGCGTGCCCGTGCACCCCGTGGTGCTGACCACGTACGAGATGGTCATCCGCGACTCGCGCAAGTTGAGCCGCTTCCAGTGGCGCTACCTCATTATCGACGAGGGCCAGCGCATCAAGAATCACGAGTGCCAGCTGGTGCGCGAGCTGCGCCGCTACTCGTCCGTCAACCGACTCCTGCTGACCGGCACGCCGCTGCAGAACAATCTGGCGGAGCTGTGGTCGCTGCTCAACTTCCTGCTGCCCGAGATCTTCGACGATCTGGCCGTGTTCGAGTCCTGGTTCGACGTGGGCAGCATGGCGACGGACGAGGACGACGCCAAGATCGTGGAGCAGGAGCGCGAGAAGCAGGTGGTGTCGACGCTGCACAAGATCCTAACGCCGTTCCTGCTGCGCCGCGTCAAGCGCGACGTCGAGCTGCGGATACCGCCCAAGCGCGAGGTGCTCGTCTACTGCCCGATGGTGGACGATCAGGAGCGGCTGTATCGGGCGGCGGTCGACCGCTCCATCGCCAAGCTCATCGGCGAGCGCAACGGCGACGACGAGGACGAGCCAGTCGAGCTGGACGGGCGCGGCCGGCCTCGTCGCTCGTGCAAGGGAGACATCAGCTTCGAGTTCCTCTTCTCGGACGGCGCCGACGTGCTGGAGGACGAGTCGCGCTGGGAGGCCGGTCTGCAGCTGTTGGAGGAGTCGCGTGCCGGTGTCTCGCGTCCCAAGAAGCCCAAGCATATGCGCATCCACTTGCCGATGCGGTCGATGATGATGTTGATGCGCCACCTGGTGAACCACCCGTTCCTTGTGGAGCACCCTATCGATCCGGAGGACGAAGGAGTACCGGCTGGTGCCCGAGCTGGTGGAAAAGAGCGGCAAGCTGATGGTACTGGACGCCATGGTGACGCGGCTGCGCGCCGCCGGCCACAAGATCCTCATCTTCTCGCAGTTCGTCATAATGCTGGACATCCTGGCTGATTTCCTGACGCTGCGTGGTCACGCGTTCGCGCGGCTGGATGGTGCCGACTCGATCGCGACGCGCCAGAAGAGCATCGACGCCTTCTCCTCCGACCCTGACCTCGGCGTCTTTATCATATCCACGCGCGCCGGCGGTTTGGGCATCAACCTTAGCGACGCCGATACCGTCATCATCTACGACAGCGACTGGAACCCGCAGCGGGACCTGCAGGCGCAGGACCGCGCTCACCGGATCGGTCAGACGCGTCCGGTGGTGGTGTACCGGCTGGTCACCGGCGGCACCATCGACGAGCGCATCGTGGAGCGCGCCGCCGCGAAGCGGAAGCTGGAGAAGATGGTGATGCACACGGACAAGTTCAAGTCGGGCCGCCGGGAGCAGGTGAACTCGAGCCTGGCGCCGATCACGCCCGAGGAGCTGCTGGCGCTGCTGCGGCAGCAGCAGCACCAGCGCGTGGTGCGCGCCGGCGGCCAGGTGTTCAGCGAGGAGGAGCTGGACCAGCTGCTGGATCGCTCGGATATGCTGCAGGCCTGGTCCGGTCAGAAGGCTGAGCTCAAGCGACGCGAGACGACCGGCGTCTTCAAGGTGCTGGAGGAGGTGCAGGGTACGCTGTAGCCTCGGGCTGGGGTCACTGCCGTCGTGTGCAGGCGCCGGAGGTGTGAGCTGCGCGCGTGCCGGCCATAAGACGGGGGTCTGGTGCTGAGGGCGTGAAGATTACGGTACGCCGCTAGTGTGAGCCGGGCACGGTACAGGAGGAGGATGTCAACAGGGGAGGTGGAGATTTGGGCACTGAAAATCGTGTACTGGCAGTGCGATGCGAGTGTCACTGTCGTGAGGGCACGTAGCGAGACATGTGATGTTCTTCCTTGTCTTAAAGCCGGATAACCCAGATTCTCGCGGCGGCTTAAGTAAATTTGTTTCGTGCATTCCGCAGTCTGAATCGCCATACTCGATCTCCGTTATGATGTGCGAGAAAGCCGCGCGCCTTCGACGGACGGTGTGGTCGGATTGCGCCGTTGGTGAACAAACGCTCTTTCGTTTCACCGGCGCAAAGTGTTATTCCGCTGACGTTCCGAGTGCCCTGACATTTTGCTCCAGCAGTGGATTTTGTAAGAACTAGCCAAGCACATCTGTGGTTCGCGTTTGAAGTGGCGTGTGTGACGCCTGTAGTACTTGACTAGGGCATAGAATAAATGCGTTTTCCATCACCATCTGAATGTGTGGTTTGATTTGGAGGTATTTGAAGCTGCCCGTTACGACCTCGACCTCGTATGACCATACGATTCCAGCTATCGTGTCTCATGACGTTGATACTCAAAAGGCTCAACTACAATTGCTGCGATTTCGCGGTCTTGACGTGACGTGATTTAGATCCTATCTTGGGTGGCTGACTGAACCGCGAATTACGTGACGTGACTTTGAACCACGAATGACACACACGGTTCGTTTTGGCCTGTGATATAGGTATCTCGAATCCTGGGTTTGCATGACGTAAACGTGGACATCATTCAGTCAATCATGCGGCCTTGATCTAGAATGATTTTGGCAAAGGTCACGAACACCATGAACAAGTGGACAATTGCACTTTCTTAACCAGGCTAAATAATAAGGTGGCAAGTGGTGTTCATGGCTCATGGCATGAAATTTTATTCAAAGAAGCATCAGAGTTGCAGGTGAATCTCATCATGACTCCTGGAGCGCCGTCACGCGCTCACTTCCGTCCCACAAGATACGCTGTCATCTTGGCCAGACTCGTGGGCGCTGTCCTGTCGCGGTGGACGTGGAGCAGTGCCAGGTGGGTGAGCGTAGTATGCCCGATAGTGTTTCGCGCTCACCCGATAATGTTCCGCGCTCACCTCATAGTGTTCTGCGCCCACCCCATAGTATTCCGCGCTCACCCCATAGTGTTCCGCGCTCACCCCATAGTGTTACGCGCTCACCCCATAGCGTTCCGCGCTCACCCCATAGCGTTCCGCGCTCACCCCATAGCGTTCCGCGCTCACCCCATAGCGTTCCGCGCTCACCCCACAGTGTTCCGCGCCCACCCGAACCGGTTCCACCTTCACCCGACAGTGCTCCGCGCCTACCCGAAAGTGTTCCGCGCTCGCCCCATAGTGTTCTGCGCTCACCCGATATGGCTCCGCGCTCACCCGATAGTGTTCCGCGCTCACCCGACAGTGCTCCGCGCTCACCCGACAGTGTTCCGCGCCCACCCGACAGTGCTCCCCGCTCACGTTTTCAGCTGCCACACGCCTGAGAAGCCCCACTCTGTCGACGCTTCGGTAGGCGGCGCATTGGGTTCCAGACTCACAAACTACTTCATTTTGCCGAGTATCTCTTGAGATGCCTCTCGTTCCGCCTGCTCCAGCGACGAAGCGTAACATGGTCGCTTGCTCTCCATTGCTAAAAACTTGAGAACACAGATGCTGCGCTTTAAGCTTTTGATACGATGATGGCAGGTGTAGGTTGGGGATATCATCCAGAACTCCATTTGAAGCAGGAGTTCGCAGGAAAGCATTTTCGCGCGAAGCAACGAGTTTCACTTCGTCGCTGGTGAGGCGCTCACCAAGGCGTCGATCACGATGGGCAGGACGTCGACCATTGAGTAATGAGCTTTTGCCGGTGATAGGTGAACAGGTCCGCTGATGTTTTTCCGTCCTCGCCGATCCTGCCACGGGTGCCGGTCTTACTCTTCCTGCAGTCGCTGAAACCCATCTGTATGTCATCCTTATCGCGGGCTTGATCTGAATGTTCACGTCGTTAGCCCTCATCCTGTTGAGCATGGTCTTCAGCAGACCGACGAGAGGCACAATGTCCCTCGATGTCAATTGAGCAACCTGGAGGGAGACAGCCACTTTAACGCAGACCGCGAAGAAATGACTGAGCGAAGATCTCGTGCAAAACACGGAGGGAAACGTAGGTGCTTGCATCGGAGATTTACGCTCTAGTTCGGTAATCTTTGCTCAAGATGGGCGCCGGGTGATGTCTTTTTTCGAGGTTCTTGGCATAGCTTTGAGCGGTTTTAGTTTGCCGTTGCAGTCGTGCGTACCTTCCTCTGCCACTCCGGCGTCAAACTCTGCTCAATCTCTTGGCTATTGTAATGAAACCGCCTCAACGTTTCACACGCGCAGTGTGTTCCTTCGATGTTCAGCTCGGATTGAAAACAGTGCGGGGGCGAGAGAGGCTGCAACGCTGCACGCAGGCTGCAGCGGTTTATTTAGGGCCGAGGTCCCAAACCCATGCTTGTCAAATTTCTTCAAGTTTCGGCATCCGTGTATTTTAGGGTGTGATGCAGCTTTTTAGCAGCTGTGTGCCTCACTTTCTAAAAAACACGGATTTTCACGGCTCACACTAAACATGTCGCGGAGCTAGAGCATGGCTAGAACAGATGTGACGGGGGGGATGTCTGATCAGAGATGGGGGATTGAGCCGAGTGCAGAAGTCCCTCCGCCATTTCACGCGTTAACACAGACCTTAGTGAAAGCCGAAAATTCGTACCCCCTACTCATCTACTAGCCCACAAGTTTCAGTCTACAGCGAACTGGTTGGTGTCACTCGGCATTCAGGTCATGCACGTACTCTCAGGCACGGTTCCCTGCTCTGGTGTGGGGATCAGAGAGTCGCTGCCTTCATTCTATCCGACAGCTGAAAGGAATTACATATCTGGCGAAACAAGGCGGGCATGGCGCATACAGGCAGTTCAGTTGCACTACAAATGTTAACAAATATGTGAGTTCATCCTTTAAATGTCGCCAACCCGCACCTTAACCTGCGCCCGGCCGGGAGAAAGTTGACTCTCCCCTCTCTCCCCCCCCCCCCTGATTCTCCAGCCACATGAGAAAAACAAGGATACTTTGTGAGAGTCTTGTCAAATCATGAAGAATGCACTCCAAAGTTTTGATCTTAGGTTAAATGGGAGGTCAACAGAGGGTCATGAGAAGTCAAAAAGGGTCATCCTGGTAGTGCGATCAAGACCTATGTTAGCACGTCAAAACGGACAGTGAGGGCACGGAAATAAGTGTTAAACTGGATGGAGTCGATACCGATGGTTTTTTGTTTCCCACAAATGTCAAGTCAGATCATGTTACCGCTCAAAATTGACCTACCAGAAGCGTACAAGAGCGATACTTTTCACGCTGTGCTTCTAAGTTTATTTTGTTAGGTGCACCTGTTAAAAAGGATTTCAAACGCAAAAATATTATTTTTAGGCTGACTTGAAGGTCGTCCAAGATAAAGTTAGGTCAAAACCCATCCGTATGAAAAAGTAGGTGCTAACCTGGTCTATGTGACCAGTACCATGTCGTATTTTTTCTGTGGTTAGAAATTGTGTGATGTACATCTACAGCACTCAAAGTCGCATAGCTACCTTAGAATATGAACATTAAACATAGCCCCTTCGACGTTGTTTTTGGTTTTTGTTTTCTTAGAAGTTTTTTAGAGGTTGATCTGTGATCTGACCTAGGGCACTGGTCTTGGTAGATCAAAGTCCCACATTGGCACGAAGGATGCCAAGTTGTTATATGAGCAAACGCCGACACGTGTTGTTGCCAACGTTCGTTGTTGACCTGTGCTCGAAAAACCATCGGGCTCCCTGGTCGGGCCTGGGTTAAAGTGGCACAGTGTCTGGGAAAAAACAGCGTTTAGGGTGTGACAAGTTGACTGAACCCGGGCTGTGACCCCCTCCCCCCCCCCCTCCTCAATTGGTTTTGCGAAACCACACCTCACATCACACCTCCACACCCCACCTCACATCACACCTCCACGCCGCATCTCACATCACATCACACCTCCACACTACACCACGCCTCATATCACACCTCACACCTCCCAATTTTAACTGTAACGGTCTCGAATGCCGCGTTTCGTCTACCCTTCGCATCACATTCCCGGACAAAGGTTGCGCATTTCATGGCTACATCACGTATTTGCGTGCGGATTTTTCCTTGAGCCCATTGACTCACAGGTAACCTGTGTTTCTGCCAGTTTGACACGGTACTGCGGTGCCCAGGTAGGAAAAATGATCTGCCACCCTCTACTCTGACTTCCTCGGACCTGATGATGCGTGCCTGACTTTTTTCGATTTAGTCCCAGCCTTTTAAATGGATGAATTTGTACACCAGTGATCTAGCTGATTCTGCAGCCAGTCCTAATTCCTTTCGTATTTTAGCTTAGTTATGCCGGTTTGAGGATGGGGTCATGACATACGCCTGGTCAGGCATCAGGCATCAGGGTCAGACATCAGCTACGGCAGTAGGTCAGGCCGGCACATCAGCCATCAGCCACGACTCAGTGCCGAAGTGGAGGCATGCCGGGGCGCAACACCTGGGCATCCGCACAGCAGACCTTCGACCACCATTGGATCGTGGCCCGATGGTGCTGTGGCACGCACCGGGTCAGAGCCGGGCCGTACCCGACGCGATGACCGAGCTGCACAGGTGTGACTGAGGTTGCCGGATGAGTCCGATGACCATGCGCTGCGCTGGTGGCGTTTCCTTCCAGTGATGGACGCTACAGAACGTCAGCTGAAGCTTACGACGAGCGCAGGTGATTCCATCGCCGCGAAGTCGCGTCTTTATGAATTCAAAGTGCTGTAACTCAGGCAGAATAAGTGATTGCATGGGTCAGTGGACACGAGCTGCCTTCTGGTGAGTCAACCAGTGTTGCAAGGCATGCTGCTGGGCATTGTGAGCTGAATTTCTGGACGGCCGCCCGCGGCTGCGAGCTGACTTGAACCGCGGCCATTTCGCCCACCACTAATGTGAACACTAACGGCAGCCGGCATCTGCATGGCCCGTTTCGTGGTCTGCAAAGGACGGATGTGCGTTCCAGTGTTTTCACAGAACCACCCGGCTGCATAATAACGTGCTAGCCCGATATAAATCTCGTTTTATGACCGCCATTATCGCCAAACATTACCTTCCCCACACGGAAATGTCAAGGATAGTTCGTAGGTTTGCTAACAGATGGCTCTGCTGGTCTGGTTACCCGACGAAGCACGTAGGTTGGTGTTCGCTTCGCCTGTGTCGTTTGAAGTCTCCGAGATGATTTAATAAGTCTCCCAGACCATTTAAAGGGACTTTTGCGGGCCTGGCTTCTCTGGAATGTGTTGATAGTGAGTCACGGTGCGAATTTGTGACACGCAGCTGGTGGGTTTCAGACATTGGCTGTTTTTGCCTGCCCTCGCCAGCTCTGTGGCGTGCT